AAGACATTTTATTTTTAATCTTCATTTATGTATGTATATGACACGAAAATTTTTGTGAAGTATATGCATTCGAAAATATTATTTTCCCGATGAATGGAAGAGAGCGCATAGCGTTCTAGACGGATCTTTGCAATGGTGAAATGCATGTAAAGAAATAAATAAAATTCATCGCTTTATTTATTCAAATAATATACATATGTATGTATCTATATTTTTTACATCACACACTGTATACGAGTATGTGCACACAAAAAACATGTATTTAATAAAATAAACATGTACGAATTATAAAAAAAGAAGTATGCTGTTGTTTGCGCCTAAAATTATTACATTCGTTATAAAAATTTAATCAACAGCAAATAGCATAAAATGTATTCATAAATATAAAAATATATGCTAAATAATATATGTATATATAAAAGACAATAATAAGTTATCTATTTTTTAATGCCGATATAAATGACATCGCCTCGCTTGACTTTCCCCGGCTCGCGCAAACCCAAATGAATTCCAAGAACAGGGCTTGGGTTCTTTTCAAAGCAACGATACCTACGTATACGAGGAAGAATAAGTGGGTTCAATGAATATCAATTAATTGAATACAGCATATAAAATTACGTTTTTAGAGTTTTCAATGGATTATTATCAGGATCGCGCTCTCCGTTTTCTGGGTTGATGTTGGGTAAAATACATCGTCGGCATGGCGCTACTTTACGGAACACTGCCTGCTGGCCAATTTTTATCCAATCATATGAATCCTCAGCATAGGGTTCGTTCTTATCCATTTTTAAATAGAAACCGCCTCGAAACTGAATAGGCTGTACTGGACGCGGGAGTCGTTTATTGAGATCTTCAATTGATGATAAATTCATCAGCATATAGCTAGTAGCATCAGCGAAGGCACCCTGAAATTTATATTGATATTTAACTTATTAGACATATTTGTGTATGCTTTCACACATTTACAATATGTAGTATGTATATTTGAGTGGTCCAAATTTTGCATGGGGAAAAAATGTCATCGTAGAAATCGGGGCACTCCTTAGTTTCTTCCTTTTGGTAGTTGTAATATCTATACCGAATATCAATTTTCTATTGTGGCCAATACATGGTGCTCAGTGCCCTTGAAATGCGCTACAGAATCCCTTTGAGACTGACCAAAATATTGTATCTTCATAGAATGGGCAGGGTATACTCATCGTTCTGTCATTACTGTGGAAAAGTCAAAGATAACGTACATCATACATTCTTCACTTGCCAGCACTTCTTGGAAAAAAAAAATAGATTGGCGCTTACACATATGAGTAGTCCACTTGCAAAGTGCTCTATGTAAAATTTTTTCGATTTTTAGTAGTTGCGGTGCCTAGTGAAAGAAGTCGTAAGAAAGAAGTAGACCAATCTTCATGGAATAGAGAAAGCGCTGCCCCCGACACGTATAAAAATCGTGCTTGGCGATTTCAATGCCAAGGTGGGCAACGAAGGGATTTTTGGCACCACTGTCGGAAAATTCAGCTTCCATGAGGAATCGTCCGATAAGGGGCTGAGGCTGATCGACTTCGAAGGGGCCCGATACCTGGCGGTATGTAGCACTGGGTTCTAGTATAAAAATATTCATTAAGCTACATGGGTGTCTCCAGATCGAAAAACTGCAAACCAAATCGAGTATGTTGTTATAGACGGAAGGCACACTTCCAGTGTTTTAGATGTACATACGTACACTCCGAGGGCCAAACATCGGTTCGTACCACTATATGGATGCAGCCAATATATATGCACCCGCCTCGGTGCAGCAAAAAATGTGCGCCCGACAATGCAAGGAAAGCTCATCGTCGCAAAGCTGCAATCAAAACAGACGGCCAATTGATTCGCTACTCGACTCTCACACCTGCTGTGAGAGAGCACTTTTCAACAAAGCGACATACGCGGGCTGTGGAACCACATTTGCCGCTCATTACTGGTACGATAAGGAGTGTCAAGAAGCTGCAGATAAAGAAGGTGCCGCCTACAGGACCCCGCTGCGATGGGGCGTAACGCGAGCCATGTGGAACCGTTATAGGGAAATGAAGAGGGAACCTAGACGTATTTGCCGCAATAAGAAGAGGGGGGGGGGTCGAAATACGTGATTGCGAAGAGCTTGAAATGCTGGCCGACAAAAAAAAACACCAGAAATTTTTAGCAGAGAGTTGAACGACTTACGGAAGGTTTCAAGACTCCTGTAGGAACGACCATGGCGACCTAGTGACCGATGCCCAGAACGTACTCAAATTATGGAGGGAATACTTTTTGACCCTTTTGAATGGCAGCAGCACTAAAAGAAGTGGAGAAGACGAACCCGAGCCCCCAGTCGATGACGTTGGAATCGATATCCCAGCGCCTGACTATGACGAGGTACGAATAGCGATTATGCTGATGAAAAGTAACAAAGCTGCTGGAGCTGATGGCCTGTCAGCAGAGCTTTTCTATTACGATGGCAAGGAGCTAATAAGGTGCATGCCCGACAACTGGATCTCAAGTGCGCTCTGCCCGATCCACAAGAAAGGCGACCCCGCCATGCGTGTTGTGTGAAAGACTGAGGCCCACCGTCAACGAACTGATTGAGCCTTATCAGTGTGGCTTTAGGCCTGGAAAATCCACCATAGGCCTGGCAAATCCAACAAAACTTTACAAGAGCGTACAATTGCTGGCGTATGCCGACGAAATCGACATTATTGTTTCAAATAAGGGTTACATCGTGCCTTGGTTACATCATTTTCTGTACTACAAATCCTTTTTCATTATTAATATTAGGTGGATTAAGGCAACGATAGAATTTTTAAATTAAAATTAGTCTACTACGGTACATTCCGTTTAGCTGCCTATTCGCTTAGCTGTTTTAGTACAGCTGCACTTTTCTGGTAGAATGTTTATACCGGAAGGAGTTTATTCATTATGAATGAACATTTTTCGTTTAACAGCATCGTAGGATCAAACAACGATTTAGTCTTTCCATTTCGAAATGGTCTAAAGACGGTAAGGTTTAAAAAACAATACAGTTTTAATTATCCGAGTGATATAATAGATGAATATATATTTATCCACCTTTTACAAACTCATTTATATATACTTTACTCTAAACACCTCCCAAATATACATATGTCTGCATACCAAATTTCAAGTTCCTGTAATTATGGTTCCCAATTTCTGGCTGATTAAAAATTCCACGCCTATGCTCCACGTTCCCTTTTACAAACTCATGTATACAAACCTTACTATAAGCACCTACCATGGATATGTATTCATACCAAAGCTCATATTATTGTGAATTATGGTTCCGAAGTTGCAGCTGATACAAAATTTCACGCCTGTGGGATGTGCCACACCCCCTTTCAAAAAACTAATTTATATATACCTTACTAAAAGCATTTATCATAGATCTTCACACCAAATTTCAAGTTTATGTGACCTGTGGTTCCGAAGTTATATCTGTTAAAAATCTCATGCCCATGGGATGTGTCACAAATTCTTGTACAAACTCCCTTATATATACCCTGCTATAAGCATTTACTATAGATATAGTATCTGAATGCCAAATTCAATGTCATGTGACTTATGGTTCCGAAGTTATAGCTGATAAAAATTTCCACGCCCATGGAAGGTGCCACGCCCCGTTTTACAAACTTAATTTTATATATCCTACTATTAGCACCCATAGATACGTCTGCGTACCAATTTTCAATTTCACGTGGCATATGGTTCCAAAGTTATAGCTGATACAATTTTCCACGCCTAAAGGATCGGACGCTGTTGTGTAGTGGTAAGAAGTGCGCGCTACCACTCCGCAGCGCCTGTGTTCAAGCCCTGGTCAAAACAACATCGCAAAATAAAATTTAGAAAAAAAAAGGTTTTTTCTTAACAGCGGTCGCCCCTCGACAGTCAATGGCAAACTTCCGAGCGTATTTCTGGCATGAAAAACAGCTTCTTATAAAAATACAATCGCCGTTCGGAGTCAGTGTAAAGCTGTAGGTCCCTCCCCTTTGTAAGACAACATCAAGGCGCACACCACAAATCGGAGGAGAAGCTCTGCCAAAACACTAATATATCGTCGTTTAAAGTACAAAACCGCGTATCAACAAAATGCAAAACCGCGTATCAAGATAATGCAAAACCGCGTATGTCTTCTTCTTCTTCTTATTTGGCGCTGTAACCGCCTAAGCGATTTTGGCCGAGTCCAAAACAGCACGCCAGTCATTTCTCTTCTGTGCTAACTGACGCCAATTGAAAATGCCAAGTGAAGCCAAGTCCTTCTCCACCTGGTCTTTCCAACGCAGAGGAGGCCTTCCTCTTCCTCTGTTACCAGCATCGCGGCCCGCGTTGAATATTTTCAGAGCAGGAGCGTTTCTGTCCATCCGAACGACATGGCCAAGCCAGCGCAGCCGCTGAATTTTAATTCGCTGCACTATGTCCATATCGTTGTAAAGCTCATACAGCTCATCGTTAAATCGTCTGCGATATTCGCCATCACCAACGCGTAAAGGTCCGTAAATCTTTCGCAGAATCTTTCTCTCGAAAACTCCAAGAGCCGCCTCATCAGATGCTTTCATTGTCCATGCTTCCGCGCCATACACCATCACAAGCATGATGAGTGACTTATAGAGTGTGATCTTTGTACGACGAGAGAGGACTTTACTTCTCAATTGCCTACTCAGCCCAAAGTAGCACTTGTTGGCAAGAGTGATTCTCCGTAGGATTTCAAGGCTGACATTATTATTGGTGTTAATGCTGGTTCCCAAATAAACGAAGTCGTCTACTTTTTCAAACTTGTAACTGTCAACAGTGACGTGGGTGCCCAGACGCGTATGCTCTGACTGTTTGTGTGCTAACAGGAGATACTTCGTTTTGTCCTCGTTCACCACCAGACCCATTCGCTTTGCTTCTATATCCAATCCCGAGAAGGCAGAACATCCTCCAAAACCGCGTATGTGCTTTTGCATAAATTATTTTTTAGGTTGCAACCTGGCACATACATACATACTAGGGATGTTGCGAATGTGGAATTTTAGACATCCGGGGATCGAATGCGGATGTTTAAAAGCTAACATCCACGGATGCGGTCGCGATTGCGGATGTCATGTATTTTTAAGAAATAATTTAAGTGGGTAAATTAGGGGATTTAGGTAAATAAAAAATGGAAAGGTTAATAATTTTTAATAATCTGCTTTATCCTGAGTTTTGCCCGAAAAAAATTTACCCGTAAATTTGAATTCCGCCCATAGTAAATCTGCCTTATCCTGAGTTTCGGCCGAAAAAAAATTCACCCGAAAATTTGACATCCGCCCATAGTAAAACCATGGAAACCAATAGTGAAAATGAACCGGTTCGGGGAAAATTAAACTCATGATAAGACTGAATGTTTTTTTTAGTACTTGAATTTAAAAATTGGAACATTGTATTTGATAAAAAATTTGCATAATATTCTAGGGACCGAAAATAACAGTTCTTTTTTATGAGTTAAATTTGGCCTACTATTTTTTTTATTCCGAAATAAACGTCCTATCCGGATAATAAACAAACCGCTTATCCAAATATAAACAAATTTGGTGTCATATGAAAGAAGACTGAACTAGTTTTTAAACAGAAAAAACGAACGAAGATTACCACTTCGATTTTTAATTTTTTTTTTATAATATAATACTAAAGAAATTCATTTAAATACCTACCTGACCCAAGGTTTGTTCTATAGTTGTTAATTAACATTTTTTATTGAAATATTTTGAAATGTGTTACTTTCCTCGTTTAGACATTTCAGTTTTAAGGCTATTTAAGTCTTCTTTCATTGGATACCAAACTTGTTTAATTTGGATAAGCGGTTTGTTTTTTATCCGGAAAGTACATTTATATTGCGGAATAAAAAATATTTGGCCAAGTTTAACTCGTAATAAAAAAATAACTAATTTTCGGTCCCTTCAATATTCGCATTCGCAAAAGATCCGCATTGATTTTTCGGAATGCGAAAGCGAATGCGAATGTTAAAAACCGTTACTACTGTAAAGTGACTCATGCTTTTAACCCTTGTCCAATGCATGTCCAATGCTTGCCAAAGTAAGTAGTAAGGATTAGATATGAATTAGAAAAGGATTCGAGACATGAGCCACTTAACAACAGTAAAGTGTCTTTTTTTTTATATTTTGAATTGTGTCGTTATTGCAGATGCAAGTTTGTTTGTACAAACGTTTAAACTATAATAATTGTCACATACCGTATCATATTTTTTTATATGTGGTTCCTTGGCTAAATCCTTGTCAATTGGCTTCGTTGGTTTCGGATAGGGATAGTACACCAGCTTCACTCCGTTTACCTGACTCAAAATGTATTGCGAGAACCATCTGTCATATTTTTCACCGCACAACATCGCATCCAATGGAGCACCAAATACCGATGTGTGTATATCGATGCCCGGCGCTTCATTAATCAGCTTACTAAAATCTAATTCCAGTGTTTCCATGCCGGGTGCATTGATTTCTAGCTTTGTTGGTGTTACCAGTTTCGAAGCAATCAAAACCATCTTAGGATAGCCACGAGCTGTTAACATTAAATTGTTACTATCGACCAGCATCAGCGCACGATCGCGAACGCTCTCGTAACGTAGGCCCAGCACTTCACATTCCAGTTCAGTGTCTTCTGGCATTTTGAGTGGTGCTCCTGATTTCAGTGGGAAAAATTCGAGCATTTCTAAGATGCCCACACGCTGCCATTCTTCTGGCATGACATCTTGCTTCCAGTATTTGTAGTATAAATAAGAAGCACTCGATACGGCAGTCACTCCAATGCCAACGCCAAAGCTGACTAGCATTTTGGTGGAAATTCCACTGGTTGAATCTAAGACGACAAAAATGTGCAATTAAATGGAAAAGCAACCTATGGGATTTAACGTTTCAGTTTTATTTACTGGACATTTCGCACTAGTAATCCGTTGTAGCACTTTCTTATCAGTTGACGATTTGTTAAAGCTAATTTTTTTATAGGTAGTACATTTGCGAAACACTTCGTCCCTATCTTGATTCGACTGTTCGCAATGAGCGACTGAGAGTAGTCGTGTACTTGCCTTATGTATGCTTTGTTAGGCTACAAATACATATGTATGTATATCTATAAGCATCCAAATGTGTACATAAATAGATACCGTTGTATTTGCATATCGTTACCTAGAGGTGAAAAGGAGCCAATTCCATTTTTTGTAATTATTCAGGAGATACTAAAAATCGATGTAGTTACACGCATTATCTGTCATTCTGCATCTAAAAGTAAATTTTGAAAAAAATGTGGACTTGGCATCTTCTCACATTTAGATAGCGATATACATATATGTACAGCTAGCTCAAAATAAAAAGATGGTAAGTCCATCCTTTATGAAAAATTGCATTTAGATGTAGGAGCAAGAATAATTAAAAATGCATCGTTTCCAAAAAAAAAACCTAATTACTTAGATACTTATTCCGTTTTTTTTCTGCGGAATTTGCTTAGTCAAAAATAGTTATAGAAAACTTGATAGATCCAAGGCTAAGATACGTTTCATTAACGCTGTGTTTCTCGTTTCATACGGAATTTTGTTTTGTGTTGAATTCGCAAAATGGGATTTTTTGAAAATTTGTTTCATTCCTATGAAATCTCAAAAAATATATATTACTTACATAGAGACTTTTCACACACATACATCCATACATAAAATGTATTGCTTCAGCTTAATAGTAACGGGTGATTTTTTAAGAGCTTGATAACTTTTTTTTTAAAAAAAACGCATAAAATTTGCAAAATCTCATCGGTTCTTTATTTGAAACGTTAGATTGGTCCATGACATTTACTTTTTGAAGATAATTTCATTTAAATGTTGACCGCGGCTGCGTCTTAGGTGGTCCATTCGGAAAGTCCAATTTTGGGCAACTTTTTCGAGCATTTCGGCCGGAATAGCCCGAATTTCTTCGGAAATGTTGTCTTCCAAAGCTGGAATAGTTGCTGGCTTATTTCTGTAGACTTTAGACTTGACGTAGCCCCACAAAAAATAGTCTAAAGGCGTCAAATCGCATGATCTTGGTGGCCAACTTACCGGTCCATTTCTTGAGATGAATTGTTCTCCGTAGTTTTCCCTCAAAATGGCCATAGAATCGCGAGCTGTGTGGCATGTAGCGCCATCTTGTTGAAACCACATGTCAACCAAGTTCAGTTCTTCCATTTTTGGCAACAAAAAGTTTGTTAGCATCGAACGATAGCGATCGCCATTCACCGTAACGTTGCGTCCAACAGCATCTTTGAAAAAATACGGTCCAATGATTCCACCAGCGTACAAACCACACCAAACAGTGCATTTTTCGGGATGCATGGGCAGTTCTTGAACGGCTTCTGGTTGCTCTTCACTCCAAATGCGGCAATTTTGCTTATTTACGAAGCCATTCAACCAGAAATGAGCCTCATCGCTGAACAAAATTTGTCGATAAAAAA